GCGGAGGACCAGGCTGGTGGTCATTGCAAGGACAGGAGGTCCGGACACTGTGCTCAGGGCTTCACACCCTGCACCATCTGGGACTCACCTCCTGGGGCCTGGGAGGGAGGCAGGGACGGGTGTGGTTACAAAGGTCAGCACCTTCCAGAAATTACGTTTTTCTTGGTCTGATTTGCAGTAAATGTCCTTGTCTGAATGGTAGTGTCTTCTCTTTTTTGTTAAGAGGTAGTTGTGTTTTTTTTTTTATTTTATCACAGTTCTTTCACATAACTTGGGTTCTCTCTGATTTGTATGCTTCATCAGGGAGCTGCATCTGTGCTGAGAATTGTTCATAGAAACAAGATTTTGATGCGGAATCTCTTTGCCGTTATGTGATGATTATGTCCTTCAGTGAGATGTGGCAAGTGCGTGGTGGACCACGTTTATTCCATTTTCAGAGTGGAAAACCATTAAGAAGAATTCTGTCTTGATCTATTTCACTCTCAGACAGACTGTGGAGAAAAGACTATGTCCCGTGCCAGCCAGTGATTCTTTAGGACACGAGTCGCACATTGAGATGGCAAACCCCCTGTGTCAACGTACATCTTAGAGATGGAAATACAGATTCTCCTAACAATTATTCACTTCCTCAAGATCACACCCTTTTTCTATCTCAGATCATGCGTAAAAGCAGTAAGAAAGGATTGATACGGAGTGTGAAAGGCACAGGAAAATGAAAGGAATCAAGATTCTTGAGGAGATGTCAGAGTCCTGCATGCTGCTACATTTTTAATACAATCCAGAAGAGAGAAAGTATTTCCTTACTGACTGAAAAGTTTCCTGCATTTTTTGGTTCTCATTTAAATATGCCTCTTTTTCCTTAATCTGCAATGATGTCATCACCTTAATACTGAATACATTGTTCATTACAAAGTGCATTACAAAGTTCATTTATTGGATTATTAGTAAAGTCGCTATTGGTTGTGAAATCTTTGAAATAGCCATTTTCCTATTTATATCTCACTGTGCTCAATTTATTTTCTTCGCTTTGTTTTAAACCATATTTGCTGTTTTAACATGATTTCATGCATCCTACTCCCTCATCCTCCCCTGCCTTTTTTAAGGCTCAACCAAATAAAACCCTTTCTAATTTTAACCTGTTGTATGCAGGTTACATAGCTGTATTTGTCTCTGGTTTCCAAGTTTTTCTCTTAACAGAAACCATGGCGTCTGCAGCCTTAAATGCATTATATCCTTCACATTGTACAGAGATAATTGGACGTTTTGAGAAGAGCAGATCTTTGGTAGCAAACATTATTCTAGAACTCCTAGGGTCTAATCAAGGAGAGCTAACACATTGAATTTCTCTCTTTTTTAAAAAATAAATAAATAAAAACAATTTCAAAGCATTTATTACGATCTGGCAATAATATAAGACCAGTCAAAAGAGTATGAACAAATGTTTCAGAACAATTTACAAGAAAACAACACCTAAAACAGAAGGGGGAAATCCAAAAACAATTGCCTTCAAAAACTTTTCATTTTCACTTCACTGATCACTTTTAGTTGGACACACTTTGTAGAAGAGTAATATTATCGGCTTTCAACATGATCCGACCCAGGTGTTTTCTTGACTTTGTTTTAGAATGAATCTCTTCTGCATCGTCTAATGTTGTTGTTGTTATTATTTGCCGTCAAGTCGTTTCCGACTCATAGCGACCCGATGTACAACAGTCCTAAACCCTGCTCTATCCTGTGCCAATCGCATTGCCTCTGACACACCCATCCCGATTACCCCAGTCACGGAATCAATCCACCTCATACAGGATCTTCCCCTCCTGCGCTGTCCCTCCACTCTACCCAGCATGATGTCCCTCTCCAAGGACCTGTCTCTCCCAGTTTCATATATTCATCAAAACCTATGATACAACCCTCTATCCGCATATTCGCTTGCTCATAGAGCCCATCAACCTCATCTTCAGATACCTGCAAAATAGATCTTGAATTTCTCATCTTTATGTATCCCTCATGTCCGTCTTTTCCAGGGTTGAACAAAATCACAAGTGATTTGCCAACAATTGAGGGTCAGCGTAATATCTCTCCGACAGTCTTAGTGAACATTTCACCTTCCCATCGTTAGTCCTCAAAAGGAGAACGAGATTAAATCAGGTTGATGTTTCCCTACTTCCTCGGGCCTGTTTTCTTCTCTGTTGTGGGATGAGTGAAGTTGTCCATCTGTGAATGTCTTGAGAAAAGGTCTATAAGCTCCCGCAAGGGCGTAAAGCAGTTGCGCTCCTGAAGGCTCAACCTTGTTTGACCTCAGTTACAAATGCCCGCTTCACATTTCCTGGAACCCGGAAACTAAAATAGCTGAGTTACTGTCGTAGAATTGGAGCCGAGTGACTGTGTTTCCAAAGGTGCCACTCAGACCAGAGGCCAGTTTTGGCCTTCAGAGTTGCTGCGTAATACAAAGGTATGCCACCTTCCCGAGATGTGGGGGATAGCATCACTACTCCCTATAGGTTAAGTCATGTGAGTGAAGCCACCTTCCTCCTGATTGACTGACGGACATTATTTTCTTTCTGTTTTCTCTTTCAGATCTCACGTGCGATTGCGGGACAACTAGTCCAGGCAGCTGGAGACCATCACAAGGGACCCAGAGCCACTGTGAAGAGAGTGTGAAGCAAACATTGTTCATGTGCCTCTGAATTACCTGGTATTCTTTGCGCACTTGGAACGCTCCTGCTGAAGTGATCTCTTTAGGTTGGCAAAGACATTCTTTTAGAACTGTAGAGAGAAGAACAAGGAAATGGTGAATCCTAAAGAAAAGGCCTTTCACCCTTCAATTATTGGTATTGGATAGAAACTCTTGGGGGGGGGCCCATTATGTTTGGTATGCGTGCTGTTTTCCCGAAAGAAGTTAAGGGTGAGAGAGGAGGCTCCTAGAATAACCTTAGATGGCCCCCTAATAACCTACTCCCTAAATACTTTGCCTTTTTCCTACCCTTGTTGTTTCATGATGGGGACACGTAGGATCACTTTCTTTATGTGCTCACAAACCTGGTTAACGAAATCTTTTAACTCCAATCTGAGCCTTGATTCTCCTGGTTCGATGACAGAATCTCCTGATCAGAAGCCAAGGGTGGTGTAGCAGAAGGTTATCTGTGATTTTGACATGCTGTTTACATTGTTGGCCTTTCTTCATTGTGTTTACCCCGGTGAAGTTTTTTATGTATTGTGTCCATACCTTTCGATGTGGGGCATGAATGAACTCATATTCTATTTCTTTTGCTTTTCCTTCCTACAGTTGCCTCTAGTTGGTGTTTCATCTGTATAATTCTTGTCTGTGTTTTGCACCCTGCAATTGAAGGTCTGCAGGAATCGTTTGTAAGCGGTGGTCCTCCTAAACTAAAGCAGGGTCTTTTCTGATCTGTCACTTTCCCCAGGTGTTTAGTGAGAGGATGATGGTTATTTTTTTGCTAGTGCACCTTACAGCCTTAGGAAACCTATTGCGCTGTTAATTATTTCCTGTTCTGTGGCTCTAAGTTAATATTCAATTCTCACATTACAATGGAAAATTAAAGTTCACTTTAGCTAGAGAAGCTAATATCTGAAATCTGGGAAGTTAAGATACTGGGGTACACTTTTCACTCAAATTCATTTTCTAATCTATGGGATATATTTCTACTGAACGTCATTTTCTCCTGGCTCCCTCAAAATCTTGTTCCTTTCGGTATATCTTCCAGTTTTGTCCCTGTACTAATTTTGCCACCACCTTCCTTAATGTTTTTCCAGTATCGCTCACACCATGACTGATATTTCAGGTAAATGGTAATTTGATGTTTTTTTTTTCCTCCATTGACAAAGAATGTCTGTGTCTTTCTGAATCTGTGGTACTTAGATACTAAGGAGTAACTCAGATAATCCAAAAATTCGCCTTGTGCCTCTTCTGCTGTTTGCCAGAGTCCCTGAAATCCTGTGTGAATCGGGGTTATAAGGAGATAGGGGTAAGAGAGAGAAACCAATGTAATTAGGATCTTCTCTAATGCTGCAATGACCTTCTGTTGCTCAGGGCCTACTTCAGAGTTTTCCTCTCCACTGTTTCATTGGCCGGGAGACAGAACAGTATTTTTAAATGTGGGATCTGAGTCTTTTAGATTCCACATAAGCCTCCTGCTTCCTTCTGTATGTCGGTCATAAAAGCCATCACCTGGCTTGCCTGTTGCATGTGGTGTCTATAACACTTACCACGTGATTCCCAAGACTTTCAGACTTTGGACAGGCCCCTTTGATAATCAAGCAGTCCCTCCTAAGCACGCAGCCCACCCATATTCTGAAGTGCTTTTTCATCTGTTCTACTCGGTTTTATCAGAATTGGGTTTAGAATCAGAAGCAGCTCATAACTCCTTCTCGGCCTGGCTTAGAGAGACCACGTCACCAGGGAGGCGATTGCTCAAACTTTCTTCTGAATCAGTGGGTCAGAATACCCACGTTTGTGTTGGCAGGGTCCGTTCTTTCCACTGGGTCGTTAGAAGTCACTTGTAGTGACATGATGGCATGACTTTATGGTGCCAGGGTCCTGGATATGCACACCAAATCTTCAAGTATAAACCCTCTGATCCTTGGAAAGTTGCAAGGCAGCCTTGAAGGCTGATGTCACCGTCTTCAAGATCCTTGAATACAAGTGCTTGACTCCTAGGTAAGCATTTTGTCTTTACTGGAAAAGCACCTGACAGGGAAGGATACCCTGGCTCAGAGTGTCCCAGCAAGTGTTTTGGCTACACAGGATGTCTGACTGGACGGAAACGTTCAGGTTCGCTTCTTGCGCTTTGGCCAGCAAGTAAACCTTCCTAAGAGTAGCTCAGGAGTGGGTCCAGACTTTATGGCCTATGAACACGTTTTCTTTTGTTAGACAAAGATTCTCACCACTGGACCAATTGGCAGCATCAGGATGGATGGTGAAGAGATTGAGATTGTACACAGCTTTAGTTTGCTTGGCTCCATAGTCA